GAGTGTGGTGCTGATAACACCAAGGCCACGGGTTCGGATCCCATATAGGGACGGCCGGTTACCTCACTGGGTGAGCATGGTGCTGACAACACCAAGTCAAGGCTTAAGATCCCCTTACCAGTCATCTTTTAAAAAAAAAAAAAAAGAAGGTTAAGGACTGGAATTCAGACTTTTCAGATGAAGAAATCTAGCATATGCCTCTAATAAATCAAAGCAGGCCTCTCTTTTCCCCAAAACTACCCCTCCACCTGCACTCCTATCACCAACCAGCTCCTGAAGACACAGTGGCCACCAGCAGTCTCTTTCTCCCTGGTGCCAGAGATACTGCACCGGGTATCTCTCCCACAGGGTGATCACTAAACTCTACTCTTTCTGTGTGTATTGCAGAGAGTGAAGAGAAAATGGGACCAGTGAATGATTACAGTTCCATGCCAGGAGTCATTAGCTATCTGGCCTGGGGTGACACAAAGGGGCACATGAGCCCCTTCAGGCTACTATTCTGCACCATACCACCCACCCAAACCATATCCTAGCTTGCATCCTTTTGAGAGGCAGAGAGCCAAGAGAGAAAGTGGGAGGGAAAGGTAGTTTAGGCGAGGACCGTGAATAAAGAAGAAAATGCTAAGGCCCAACATCTGGGCTCAGAAATCTTGTAGAAATGACCTTTGAAACCCTGGTTGAACAGAATTTTTTTATTTTTAACTTAAATTTAAACTTTTATAAGTGCAAACCTTCAGCAGTCAACATTACCATAGATCAATGCCTAAGAGAACTGCAGGGATGAAATACTACCTTAAATCATACCTGGAAAGCCACCACACAACTGGAGCTGCAGAAGCTGTATATAGTGCCATTTGACATGGCTAGATGGTACTGAGGGATTGATGACATCTTACAACTATGACACGAAACCTGGACACCTTGGTGACAAAAAAAATAAAATTAATGAGTAAGTTACTCAAATGAACAAATGACCCAAAAATGTATTAGGAGAATGAAAAAATCAAATATTCAATAACATACGGAAAAAAAAGAACTTTACAATAATCTGTAAATCTAATTACAACTAACCTCAATCAAGTCCCAATTATACAACTAAACTTGGAACATGTGTTTTTTTCTTTCTTCTCATATATGAAACAAAATATATACTGCATCCAAAAAAATCAGTGAAATCATATTCACTTAAAAACCAGTTCTTCAAAAGTAAATCAATCTTGGACATTTATTTAACCATATAGATAAATTTAGTTTGTAACAAAATGAAAGAAAAGCAATTACATTCTTCTCCAATAGTTACTAAATCTATAAATTTATCAAATTTCAACATTACCTGAAGAAGTAACATTCTTAACTCTGTAAGCAGATAAGCAATTAACAGAACAGAAAAGCTCTGTTTTTCCTGAATCATTTGTAGTCTCAATCATCTCAGCTGAGGGCCTCAATGATTTCCCCAGGGCATAGGGAGGTGTTTGGGCTGAGTTCTATTAAGAGAATAGAATAACATTTAGATACCCAGTACAAGCATTCATATTTACATATTGTTTAAAAATGAAAAGCTACCTACAACCACTACTTGAGCATGACAGTAAGGCCACACTATTGGGATGTGGGAAAAATAAGTTCTTTCAAACAATAATCACATATAAACTAAAGAAAATTAGCAATATCTGAGTAGATAGATATCTTAGCAACAATAAAACACATTACAAGTAATGAATTAGGTATTCATTACAGAGCATACTTTTCTCATCACAAATAACCAGAGAAAATCTGTGAACCAAAAGGCCATCCTCAGTACAGACCTGGATATAAATCTAAGAGAGTATACCACTCTTAAGGTTTTTGTGACACTCTTTAGCAAGCGATAAAAATAATGATTATTACTACAGACCTACCTGTTTTTCAAAATGAGTTTCATAATAAAATTTGCCTGTAAGTTTATTCATGTTTTAAGAAATAATAATAGTAATAATAATGGCTACCATTTATATAACCAATATTATCACTTACCAAATACTTACCATGAGCCAGGCCCCATGCTAAGCAATTTATATATACCATACCATAAAACTTTTTCAACAATATAGTGAGGTGCTTAAATAATCACCTTAACAAAAAGTTTAAATTAACTTTAATTAAATTAACATAAACAGAAGTAGAATTTAAACTTCTTTCATTAGACTCCAAAGTTCAAGCTCCTAACCGTTCCCTATACTGTCAGTGACGCACTATAAGGTCTCTCAAAAAGAAAGTAAATGGTGGGGAATATAAATTGTAAAGTTTCAGTACATAATCTTCCTACTAAAAGAGGACATTATTTATGCAACTGATAGAGTACAATACTAGTAACAAAATTAGGAATGGAACTGATTTTTGGATCAAATGTAAAATAACATGCATCTTTTTCTTGTGAAAGATGCAACCCAACTGCTAAAAGTGGCAACTTTTAGAAACGAGATACTTTTCAATGATGAATGTCCATTACTAACTGCTCAGAGAAATTAACAAGTCAAACTTTGCTGTTAAGGGACGCCCCAGCCTCTACTGACCTTAACATAT